CCTCTTTCTCTCTCGCTATATGAATATATAATATAAGATTATATAATATAATATAATACAATGCAATATAATATAATATAATATAATATAATATAATATCATATCATATAATATCATATAATATCATATAATAGAATAGAATAGAATAGAATAGAATAGAATAGAATAGAATAGAATAGAATAGAATAGAATATAATGTAATGTAATGTAATGTAATGTAATGTAATGTAATATAATATAATATAATATAATATAATATAATATAATATAATATAATATAATATAATATAATATAATATCAATAACAACAACAATAAGAATAATAAATACTCAGTAGTTGCATTATTATGTAGCATTATATGATGGTTGTAGTCTATAATAAACATCTAACACAACACAAACCATAATTAATGGATCAAAATAGGCTTTGGGCTGGTAGAGTTCGGGGTTTCTGAGCCGAAGGAGCAAGTAGAAGGCGCCCCCAGGCTTCGGACATTGTATGTCCTCATCCGCGCGACCCGACTACCACGGTTTAGGGTTATTTAGGATTTAGGGCTTAGGGTTTCGGGCTTAGGCTTTCGGGTTTAGGGCCTAGGACCACGACTCGACTACCACGGTTTAGGATTTAGGGCTTAGGGTTTCGGGCTTCGGGTTTCGGGTTTCGGGTTTAGGACCCTAGTACCCTAAACTATAGCAGGCCGGGAGAAGGCTGGGGATCCCTGGGAAATCTCCTGCAAAAACTGTATAGAGCCTAAGGAGCCCTTGTAAGGCCCTTGTAGCCCAAGAAGATAAGGACGACAAATTCTTCTAAAACCCGTTAAAGATAAACCCAAACCCTAAACCCGAAACCCTAAACGTAAGAGAAGAGAGGGCAACTTGCCAAGAGTTTCGAGCTGCGGGTATCTTGGCTAGAAGATCCAGGGCCGTATCTCGCTTCTTCTCGAGCTCGGCGACTTTCCCTGAGATGTAGCCTGAACGGGTTTAGGGGTTTGGGATTTAGGGTTGAGGGTTTGAGGTTTGTGGTTTAGGGTGTAGACTGATCGACAATCAGGATCGTAGTAATTGTAGCGGAAGAACAACCATAATGAAAACCCTAATGAAATGTACTAGAATGTAGAAGCAACAGCAACCGTAACAACCACAGCAACAACAATGAGAGTAACCATGGTGTGCAGCCCATGCCCTAAACCCTAAACAGAGGCGTGGTTGCAACGAAGAGGCTCATGTCGCACTGCAGCGCCGCAATGCCGGCATGCTGAGCCACGCTCGAGGCACATGAGGTGATCCTACAGGGATAAACCCTAATCCCAAACCCCGAAACCCTAAACCCTAAATCCCGAATCCCAAACCCCGAAACCCCAAACCTTAATTCTAAACCCCAAACCTGGAAACCCGAAACCCCGAAACCCTAAACTCCTCTAAATTTTGAACCCTAATAAGCCGAGTATTTCCAGTGAGTCTCTCGGGCTTTTCGTTCTTGGGGCAGTTCCGCCAAGTCTCTGAGAGCATAACATATCATATTATACTACTTCCTACTGTACTTTATACATTACATTATACGAACTTTTTTGTATTACGGTTCATTATTATATGTCACATATATATATATATATACATTACACGAACTTATACTGATTTACTTTTCGCTGTGTTGTGTTCCGCCAAGTCTCTGAGACTGCAGCTTGGAGGCGGCTTTGACAATTTCTTTGGGTGCGGCAAGATATCCCAATCGATAGCCTGTGGGTTTCGGGTTTGTGGTTTTTAGGGCTTGGGGTCTGCGCAGATTACAGCAGTGTATTGCAGTTGCAGGCAAAGCTGAGGGGGCGGCCTGTCATGGAGAATGCTTTGGAGAAGCCGTTGATCGTCAGTGTACGCTCCCACATATCCTCAAGGGAAGTAACTGTAGCAAATCACATACACTTAGTATACTACGAAGTATGTATCATTATACATATTGTTATTTTCTACAGGTTCTATACCTTCTGATTACATGATTCTATTATGGATCAACCCACCAAGCCCTCTCTCGTGCCATGTCATGCCTTCAGAGCAGCAAAGGATGCGTGCTCTGTGCCGTCATAACCTGAAGAGCAGGCTGGCACGAGGACGACGGCGTTTCTTTTTCTATCTATAGGCTCCATTGTAGTTTCTTTTTGGGGTTACCTTGCAGGATCCTACAAATATACTTGGTGCAACCAAGAAAGGAACTACAATGGAGACTATAGATATCTCCTTAAGGTGCGAACAAATCCGCTCGTAGATTTCATCTGAGAGGACCTTGGCTGTGCGAGGCTACTAGGGAGCTCTGATCCTCTCGGGCTTCCATAGAATCATGTGTATATATATATATGTGTGTGTGTGTATGTATGTATGTATGTATGTATGTATGTATGTATGTATGTATGTGTATATATATATTGGTATGTAGAAACATATGGATATTCACAAATGTATATATATATACACTAGCATGTAGAATGTATATATATATACTGGTATGTATGTACTGTATGTATATATATATATACAAACTCATATGTTCAAATGTACATATACGTGTATATATATATATGTCTGTATGTATGTCTGTCTGTATGTATGTATGTATGTATGTGTGTATATATATATATATGTACTTGATGTCTTGGGGCATTGGGGTTGTGGCATTGATGAAGCAGGCCATCACTACGCCAAGACGCGAGAACATGCTGATTTTGTGGCTTCCGCAGCACTTCCGCGACTTCCTCAACTTGGCTTTTACCCATGGCGCAGCCTGCTCCAGAGATTGGAAGCAAACCCTTAACCCTGTTTAGGGCTTAGGGTTTAGGGCTCAGGGTTGCAAATCCTAAACCCTAAACCCCAAACAGATCTAGCCGCTGCGAGCCTGTCGGATTCGATGGATTGCACACCTCGGCTTCTCGCTAAGAGTTCTAGAAGCGCTGCATCCGCACATCAAAGAGTGTGTGGAAGGCCATCCTGGGCTCTTCTGAAGGAAACTAGTTTAAGTTACCAAAACTAGGAAACCTTAGGATTTGCTGTAGATCCCTACTAGGGTAACGTAGATGGAGGTCCTTCACAAGAAGCCAGGAATCCGAATAGACTACCAATAACCCTCACCCTTAAATCATGGGAGTTAGGATCAGGGGGACCTTTGGCGATCTAGACCCTCTCAACAAGGTCTACTTAGGAAAAGAGGATCCTAAAAAGGAACCTAAACCCTAAACCCCAAACCCTGAACCCTGAACCCTGAACCCAGGAGGTGGTCCAGCCGAGCTTCTATGACCAAGCGAGTTCGCAGGGTGATCGCGGCATCCAACCTCTTGGCATCGATAGCATAGCCTGGGCTCTTGTGGAGGAGCTCAATGGCTTAGTGTAAGCTACCATGATGTCGCAAGTAATGTGGGTTTCCTTATTATGGCTTAGGGTTTAGGGGTTTAGGGGTTTAGGGTTTAGGGGTTTAGGAGTTTAGGGGTTTCCTTATAAAATATGGTAGCTTAAACGAATTCCGTAACAAGAACCAGGTCGCCTTGAGCTGCAGTTGTCTCCAAGATTACCGGAGTCGCTCCCGACAGCTTCACAATATCCTGGGGCAGGTGTGGGAAAAGAGATGCTTTTAGGACAATAGCTATAGCCCTTATATACCCCTTATATAGTCTCAAAAAGCCCCTGTATAACCCCAAGGGTCCCTTTAAGGGTCTCTCCTTCAGTCCTTGGGATACACTGCATATCAAATCCATCTCTAGGCGTGGCCGTCTTCTACAAGGAAAACTAATATAGGGGGCCTTAATAATTAGAATAGGGCTTGGGGTATATTCTACTATAATTCTAATAAGGAGCCCCCAAAACCCTATTCTAATTATTCAGGCCCCTACACTACGCCCATTCCCAGTCAACAAGGCCCATCGTTCCGACACGCAGGCCCAAGCCTCATGAGAAACCTTCCGAGCCACCTAATTACCCCAAAACCCCTAAACCCTAACCTCCAATCCTAAACCCTATAGACCCTAAACCGCCTTAGCTTGGCGAGCTCCCTAAACCCCTAAATCCCTAGACCCCTCAGCCCCAAACTCGAAACCCGTGGATCTGAACTTCGAATCGAGCTTCTGGGTAGGAAGTCCAATACGGTGCGGGGACGATCACTTCGTCGCCTTTCTGGCAGAGCGCCATCACGACTTGGTAGATAGCCTGCTTGCCTGCCCCAGCCGGCAGGGGCTTAGGGTTTAGGGCTTATAGGGTTTATAGGGTTTAGGGTTTAGGGCTTAGGGTCTAGGGTCTAGGGTCTAGGGGTTTAGGGTTAGGGTTTAGGGAACCCTAAGCCCAACCGTAGGGGCGCAAGAACTTGAACAGGCTGAATAGGGTTTGGGGTAGGTTACGGTATCAATCTAACAAGGAACCGCGACGAATGATCTTGGTAAACTGGTAGCTGCTCAGGCTTCTACATCACTCTAAACCCTAAACCCGTAAACCGCAAGACATAGCAGGTCCGCCTCCGCATGCAATCAACACTTCGTCGGGGCTGTACTTGACCTGGGGCACATCCTATGGATCTGTCCCTACTCAGGCCCTACTCCCTAAAGAACCCTAGCCTCCCTCCAAAAAAACCAATCTCCTGATTCCTTAGACCCCAAGGCCCCTCATCCCTGAATCGCTTCGGCCCTTGAGCCCTGGGCCTAAACCCCTAAACCCCAAATCCTACACCCTAAACCCTAACCCTAACCCAGGTACCTACTGTATAGGGTGCTAGAGGTTCTGGGGCACCGTACAGTGGATACCTGGAGGGTTAGGGTAAACCCTAAACGACGGCCTTCTTGTACTTCTCGAGATACTCGGCCACCGCCTCCGTTGGGGGCAGAAAGGCACACGACGTAAGGTTTGTATTTCTAGGGCTGTTTAGGGTTTAGGGTACAGGGCTTTGGGCATAGGGTTTTAGATTCATATGCAGCCGCCCCCACTAACAATTAGAATCGCACAGGCAGAAATGAGCACCGGGATTTGAAGGCCCAGTGGATTAAATCTATAGCAACCTGTAGCATCAGAAAAAGTTCAATCATGAGCACAAAGCTTAGCACCAGAAAAAAAAAAACACAATCATGAACACAGATTTTTAGCACCAGAAATAGCACAATGAGGGTGCACAGAACTTGCCGAACATCAAGACACAAGTATGAGTTCACGAGGCGAATTGTTAGGCGTTAATTTGTAAATAGTACAACACACCATCATAAGCACCAAATGTAGCACGAGAAAATGCACAATCACGGGCACGAAAACTAGCACCAAACAAGCACAATCATGAGCAAAAAATGTAGCACCAGAAAAAAAAAAACAATCATGAGCACAGAGCTTAGCACTAGAAGACTGTGGGTCTTGCTGGTGCTTTTTGTTGTGTTTCTGTTAGTGGGGACTGTGACTAGGGCCGGCGACATTTAAAGTTTTGAAGATTAGGGGTCAGCCTACCATAATAACGAATCCCAGAATGTGCACTCAACGATATTCCCAAGGAGCCTTCTAAACCCTCATCGAACTTTTGTATGGAGCCCCCTTATCTTCTCTTTCCGAAATCCCTCATAGAAACCCTACTTCGAAACCTACTAACTCGCCACACCCGCGAAAACATACACCTTAAGCTCTGACACCCCCTAATCTGGTACTAGAAACTACATGAAGCTTCTATTATTATACTACCTACGAGGCTTATCACTACGTTAAGTCGAGTGCCTACATTGCTGAATAATAACCCTGAGCCCGAAACCCTATTACCACGTCACTGCGTCCCAGCGGGCCTGCCGCAGTTCCAGGGTTCCTGGCTTGAGGCACAGTGGCAAGGTTTGGGTTTAGGGTTTAGGGTTCAGGGTTTAGGGTTTATCGTTTAGGGTTTAGGGTTTAGGGTTGTTGTAGAAGGGCTTTATAGCGTTATGCAGGTTATATAAGGGCTGGATGGGGGTTCTTATACTGTTTATTGACAGAGTCTTTATAGAGCTTTGTAAGCTATAAGGGTTGTTGAAGGCTTCACAGGGGTTTTATTAAGCTTTATCAAGGGTTTCGTAGTGCGGTATGAGGGGTTTGATAAGGCTTCATGAGGAATTCACAAGGCTGTATAAGGGTCAAAATGGCTTCATAACGGCTTCATGGGAGCTTTACGGCATCTAGGGTTTCTGAAGGCGAGTTTGAACGGTGCCTTTAGTCTATAGGTTTCAAGCTCTTCAGGGGGCCAGGGATTGGGGTTTTCAGGTTCATAGCGTGTGGGGTTCGGGATTCAAGGTGCGTCCAGATGGAAACAGTGCCGGAGGGTCCTGTCACTGCCGTGTAGCTCGTCAAGCCCTTGACGGCAGCTTCCTGGGTCGCCTGGATAGCTTCGGGTGGAGGTGCGAAGTCTGGCTGACCAACCTGAGAGCACTGTGCATGAGAATCACGACAGCTGACTCTGATACGGCGGTATCACGTGACCACACTAAGCTGCTGCCCGTGGAACGCACAAGGCCCCGTTGACCTTTTCACCGCGACTCTTCATGTTGGAGACCTCTGCACTGCAATCCAGATTGAGTGCAAGCAGGTAGCACCGCAGCGAGCCTTGCTGAAAATCGCTACGGTGGTGGACCTAGGGTGTGCTTGATCACAACAGATATGCCAGGGTGTTGCCATCAAAGCAGCTGAGTGGTCCACTCCTCCATCTCACTGATCATCGGGTTCAACTTTAACGGGGCCATGGCTGGAGAATTAGGAAAAATGCTCTGTGCTGCAAGTACAGAAGATGACCAAGAAGCGCCTTAAATGGGAGGGCAAGACGGACGATGCATGAGTGAAGAAGTAGTATACCGGGCTACACTTTCTTTCCGCGATGGTTTGAGCTGCAAGCTTGCAGTGCCGATCGAAGATTCTCCCGTCGAATCTCTTCTAATCGGTTCAAACAAGCGTTGAACAAAAGCGGCTTTAGAGAACACCTGAGGCACGGGCTCTTCACTGGCATCCAACTTGCTGACCTAAACGAGAAAAAACAGAAAGCACCATCCTCCTGTGCCACCGGGCTCTGGCCATGTACATGTGCGCTTGGGCGACGAGCGAAAGGGACTCCACCTGAAGAGACAGCTCCCGACCCCACGCTTTAGGGACTCGACATGATCTCAGGGCGCTATTTTTGTCATGTTTTTGACGGCAGCGAGCCTGACCAACGACATCCTTCTCCTGCACAGCTGCGGGTTTTCAATGCTGCTTGAGCCATTGCATGACCCCTTCTAGTGTCAGGATGCGCAGCACTGCTCTCATCGGCAAAGCTGGGACATGTCGTTCTTCAAGCCTTCTTGTAGATGGTCTTCGCTGCTTCTGCCGCACGGGCTGCCTCCTGACCGGCTTAGGGTTGAGGGTTCGCCACTCTAGGTCTAATAATAACAATAATAGTAATAGTAATAATACTAATAATAATCATAAAAATAAAAATAGTAATAACAATAATAATAATAATAGTAATAATAATTTTGGTAGAGAGAGCTGAACCGGGAAAGCCGAAGTTTGCTCCTTTGGCTCCTCACGGCCTGAGTGGAGCAATGGGAGCCGTGAGTTAGCAGCACTGTTCACAGTTCATGTGGAGAGCCCTTTTCCTGCCCGCAGGGCCCTGCACAAGTCTGCAGCGATTATGTACGCGGGTACATAAACGCGTGCAAGGCACCCGAAGTTGCGAGCCCGGGACTCGAATCACCTGGCGTCCCTGCTGACAACTCCATGCTGAGCGAGGATATACAACAAGAATCTAGGTAAGCAGGTCGACCCTGCCAAGAACATCCAGGTTTGCTGGACATCTTGCAGAATCCTGCCGACGAGGAACGAGGTGTGAAGCTCAACAGGAACGACCCCGTCGAAATTGCATGCCTCATATGACATAGCATTGTGAATACTCAACATATAGGGAAGTCCTGAGCTCACTGTCCAATGTGCTTGGTCCATCAGCATAGCCCTTGACGACTACCTCATTGCCATGGCTCTTAGGCCGAAATGTCGGGCGCGCTGATTCGCAAGCAGTGTGCAGGAAAATATGCACAGCACCCTACCATTGCCGCAATATGCAATGAAGGTCTCAAAGACCCCGTCATGGCCACTTATGAGCCATCCCCAAAGTCCACCTTTTCTGCACAGACCCCCCGAAAAAAAGGGACTTGGGAACTGGCTCCCTAGGCCTCCCCGAAAGTGGTAACTCAGATCGCGAAGGGCGTCCAGTGAGGATTTGGGCCCTCCTTTCCTGGGCACAACGGGGGCTCTCATCACAGTACCGCTGATCGTGACCCTTATAAAGGAAGCATCGTAGCCCTCTTCTACAAAGGACCGGGCCCCCAAAAAAAGCTCAAGCTGTCGAAGATGGAACCTATATATAAGCAAATGCCAGAAAGCTTACTCCCATTGGCCATCTAAGGCAGTGACCCTTATAGGAACCCCCTCTTCTTCAAGGACCGGGCCCAACAAAAACCCCCTGAACCCTTAACCCTAACTTATAGGAACCTTGACCCTTCTACGACCTCAGACGTTTTCCCGAGGACCAAACGCCGACTGGCGAGCATCTCGTCTACCTGCCATGTCTCGGTCTGATGCATTCGTTTCGGGTTACGGGTTTAGGGTTCCTTTCGACAACCATACCGAAAAAACTCAACAATAACAGTGACGGTGGTAATTTGATTGATAAGAACCACAGTAATGATAATGATAACCGCAAACCCGAAGCACATTGTCAAAGCCCTTGAATACTACGTAATTGTACTACTGGCCTCCCCAGATCAGAAAAACCAGAACGAAGGGCACTCAGCACTGGTATTAGTAGTGGTTTTGGTGGTGGTGGTGGTGGTGGTGGTGGTGGTGGTGGTCGTGGTCGTGGTCGTGGTCGTGGTCGTAGTCGTCGTCGTAGCTGTAGCAGTGGCAGTGGCAGGAGCAGTAGTAATAGGAGGAGAGGTGTTGTAGTAGAGTGTGCCGGGAATCTTAAAACAGATATTTGAGCAAGATTGCCAGCAATCTTGGCCCCACTTGGGGGGGGGGGGGGGGGGGAGATGACCATGCAATCTTGGTCATCTTGGTCTAAGATGTAAACAGAGGCCGAGCAAGTGGGGCAAGATGACCAAGATTGCAAGATTGGCAAGTTGACCAAGAATGGTTTTCTGTTATTACAAATTCTCTGCACAACGTAGTAGTAGTCAGTAGTAGTTTGCTTTAGCTATTAACGTAGTACCATAAATGAAAACACAAAGTGCGCTGATCAAGGCGGACCTGTCCCGGCTCGCTGGCAGCCGCCACGAAGCCAAAGAAGGGAGGCGATGGCCTAAGCAAGGCTCGAATTTGAGAGAAACCCTAAACCCTAAACCCTAAAACCCTAAACCTAAGAAGGTTTGGGAATCAGGAGTTCTTGTTTTCTTGATTGCCTCTTTTCCTCCTGCGGGACTGCAGGATTCAGGAGTTCAGGACGCAAGGAAACAAGCGGAGAGCCCTGCCGAATTGCAAGCTTTTTCAACGTATGAACTAAGACGTGGGCTGACCAGGACGTGATTTGTACTCTGGGTGGTACTGCACGCCCATAAAGAAAGGATGATCCTGACACTGCAGAGATAGGAAGATGAAGCCGCAAGGGTAGCTCTGTAAATGAGGGTCCCGTTTTGGGGTCCTCTAGTCCTTTGTACCTAGGGTGCCGTATTGTTTTGGGGGACCTAAAACGGGACCCTAATTCTAAGAACTACCCACAAGATGGACTTCGCAAGTTGGAGCAGACGTTCCTGTCCTTGGTCGCCATTTCAATGATGTCCATGCGCTCCTGAAAGAGGTCGGAAGGCAGATGACGAATGCCCACCAATACGACCAAACTCCTAGACCCCTAAAGCCTAAACCCCAAACCCCTAACCCCTAGACCCTAAACCCCTAAACCCAAACCTCTAAACCTTAAACCTCTAACCCTGAACCCTAAACCCCTAAACCAATAAGTAACCCCAAAGCGTCCTTGCTCTCATCCTGGCCAGAGAAGATCAGGCCCTTCTTCTCCATCCTCTCCTTGAAAGCCACGTTGAACTCGTAACCTGGAGAGGGTTTAGGAAGTTTTGGGTTCAGGATTTGGGTTTAGGGGCTTAAAGTTTAGGGTTTTAGGTTTTAGGGGTTGGCGGTGTAGGGGTTAGGGGTTTAGAGTTTGGGGGCTTAGAGTTTAGGGTTTTGGGGGTTTAGTGGTTAAGGAATTAGGGATTATATAGGAGTTTAGGGGTTTTGGGGTTTGGGGACGTAGGAGTCTCCGTGTTTAGGGTTCAGGATTTAGGGCTCAGGGCGCTTAGAGTCCTAGAGTTTTGGATGTATACCTATAGTCTCCATTGT